AAAGAGGAACAGGAGGGACTCTGCACCAGTCTGGACCAGGAGGACCCAGAGCCTCCACAGATGAAAGAGGAACAGGAGGGACTCTGCACCAGTCTTGAAGGAGAGCTGCTTATGCAGAATCAGGAGAGTGATGCCTTTATAGCAACTCCTAGTTCTAAGGAAAGGGACCACAGTGACACAGAACCAAACAGTTACCAGCTACTCTGTCAGAACATTTTTGTAGCTGAGAGGTCAGATCAGAAAAGAAGTAAGCATGCAGACTTAGAACCAAATACAAATGCAAAGCTGAAGCCAATGAAGACACATCACAGAAACAACAGTCACAGTAACAATGTAGACAACACTCCCATGGCTGAGAGTCACTGTGACAGTGACACAGGGAGAAAGACTTTCACATGTGAGGTCTGTGGAAAAGCCTTTAAAAATAGGTATGACATGAAGAAACATTACAGCAGTCATACAGATGAGAAGCTGTTTGCTTGTAAGTCATGTGAGAAAAGTTTCAGCTATAGAGCTCACCTAAAAGTCCACATGAGAACTCACACAGGTGAGAAACCGTACGTTTGTAAAACCTGCGGAAAAAGATTTAGTACAGGAGGAAATTTGACAATCCACATGAGAACTCACACAGGTGAGAAGTCGTATTCTTGTACAACATGTGGCAAAAGCTACACTGCCAGCACAACTCTGAAGGTCCACATGAGAACTCACACAGGTGAGAAACCATATGTTTGTAACACCTGTGGGAAAAGATTTTCTGACAAATCAAAACATAGAAGACACACAGCAAGTCACAAAGAGGAAAAGCCATATTCCTGTAAAACCTGCGGGAAAAGTTTCAGTCAAGGAAGTTATTTGAAAGGCCACATGAGAACTCACACAGGAGAGAAACCATACTCATGCAGCGATTGTGGTAGAAGATTTGGTTGCAGATCCGTTTTAAAAGTTCACATGAGAATCCACACAGGTGAGAAGCCTTACCTTTGTAACACCTGTGGAAACAGATTTACTGTCTTATCACACCTTAAAAGTCATATGAAAATCCACACAGGTGTGAAGCCACATTCTTGTACAACATGTGGGAAAAGCTTCACTTCTAGCACGTATCTGAAAGTCCACATGAGAAGTCACACAGGTGAGAAGCCGTACTCTTGTAAAACCTGCGGGAAAAGATTTTCGAACACATCCTCACATAAAAGGCACACAGCGATCCACAATGGGGAGAAGCCATATTCTTGTGGAACATGTGGGAAAAGTTTCTGTCGTCAGGATAACTTGGTGCTTCACATGAGAACTCACACAGGTGAGAAGCCGTACTCTTGTAAAACTTGTGGGAAAAGTTTCACTGGAGGAAGCTATTTGAAGGTCCACATGAGAACTCACACAGGTGAGAAGTCGTCGTCCTGAAACATCTGTTCTGTGGAAACTAGCATTTAAACAGGTTAAAGATTTACAGCAGCTTCAGACTGTGCTTCAACAGTAATTGTGAGGAAATATGTCAGCAGACCTGGATGATCAGACCAGATGGAGTCTGGACTGTGGTGGTGGTGGAGCCAGGAGAAGATCCAGGCTGAACATCTGGATATGTCATCTCAGACGCCTGTGAGAAGATTTGAAGCCCAAAAGAATCCCCCTCCTGAATGACCTTAACCACTGGCTTATGTAGGGGGCTGTTCACGTAAACCTAAGACCAAATGTACGGTTCACCTCCTGAGGGGAG